CTGAAACCACCGGGGTTGTGCAACATAATGATGGTCCACACACCACACACAGAGAGAGTGGCGAAACTGAGATGGATAATAATAATAAGTAAGGCGTTCGTTCAACAAACAAACGTAACAAGAAGAGCAACGAAGGGGAAGAGAAAAAAGACAGCAAGGAGGACAGCAGCTGGGGGTGTTTGTCTCGTCCCGCGAGTAATTCCAAGAAGAGGAAGGGCCCGCCTTCCAGAGAGTACCCGCCAGCTCCGTTCACACTGCTCCGCTATGCAACAAAATCGACTCAGAAAATAAGGGAAATACATCCCCTCCGGGGGGAACTCGTGGGAACTGGTACCCCGGGGGGAAATTGAAATACCCGGGGGGATCTTTTTTTTTGGTCGAAAACGATCTACACTGGGGCTAAAATCAACGAAACCATGCTTCCAGGCCGAAAAGGTAATGGGTGGGGGGGGGGTTCTGCACTAGGGGGGGAAAACTCCATAGTTTACGGTACCTATGTTTCCTAACACAACAACAAACAGCGGTGTACACCGCGCTGTACACGTACAATATTTTCGGCTCGCCGTGTTATCGTCTTCATATTTTGATGTTTTCCCAAAGACAATTTTTCTAAAGAAACACCAGGCAGACTGCAGAAAGCACCATTCGATACTTGCATGCACATGTGGCGGACACGATGAGATTCGTACACTAATGGATGTTGTATGACAGGAATAACGGAATAACCGATAGGCGACCGCCGAACCACGAATGAATTTGTGGGCAGGGTTATGAAGTATTGTTGAAAGCAAGCCGACGAATATCGTCGGCGTTGCTAGTCCCAAGCTTTATATTTTTATTTTAGTCGCGTGTTGCGCGTGTGCTGACACCACGAACGGGAAGGACCTTAATTAGCCGACACACTACGCAATAATGGTCGTGATGGACGCGGGTACGCAATAAAAAAACAACACATACATCCGATCCTCGGGAATCACGAAATGCAACGTCTACATACACACGGTAGGCACTCTGTCTGTCCCTTTAACACGGTACGTACTGCTTTTGCCTACCACTCACTCTCGTCCTCTCGTCCGCATCAACAACAAACAATGCAACTTGCCGCACAACAAGAGCCATCCCTGCAGGAAAAGCTGTACAAACAAGCAAAAAGCAGCTCCTGCTGCTGTAAGCTGCTGCTGTATGTACCATTTTTCAGCACGCACGAACAACAGATACAGCACAGGCGAAAGAGCTGAGTCTGCCTGTCTGTGTCTGCGTCGGCGTGAGTAGGGGTGGGTGTGAGGTGGTATCGATAGAGTAACGACAGGATGTTTTTTTATGTTTATTCTTCTTAATATGACACAACGAATCCATCTCCATCATAGAAAAGAGTCTGAGACAGATTAGCAATGAATTCATTGTGTATGGCATCTCGACGAGTATCGTCGCGTTGCCTGTCTGAAGCTTTCGATTTTTGCAGCGGGTAACAATCAAGGTAGACACCAAGAAGATGCCCGATGAGCACACAGGAACCGGGGGACCCCAAAAAACAAAAGCATGAAAAACAAAAGAAAGAAAGAAGCGAGAACAAACGAGTCAGACGCGACAGGCTTCAGGGAGGAGGCAAAAGAGCGCATAGAAGAAAAGCACCGTCGCCGCTCGCTCCGGACCGCTGGAAACTCTCACATAGCACTACA